CTGGGCTATGCAGGCTGGGAACAGGGGCCACATGGCAGGGGCGTCTGACAAGGGACCCTCACCAAGGAAAAGCAAAGTGGCAAGCCAGGAAAGGTAGGGGGAAGTCATGGGAGTGCTGGAACCTGGGGACCCAGCAGCAAGCCTAAAATCCTAACCCTGCTCCCTCCCTCACCAGGAAAGGGGGGAACTAGAAAGACCATGTGTCCATGTTTTCAGCTCCACCAGGCCATGCACTGGGGTGGTCCCTCCCCAGATGTAGCCTCTTCGTCATTGCAGGAGGGCACCCACAGCCACGCGACAACCCAGCCCAGGCACCACACTGCAGACGGGGCTCAAGAACAAGGTCTGCAAGATGCAGCCTTCTCCCCCTGGGTGGGGCAGAGTTCTCAGGTCCACTGCAGGCGCTGTCCTCCCAATCTCCCAGAAACGGGGAGGGAGGATAGAAACATTAACTCCCAACCCCTTTCCCCATAGGTTTCCACTGCAGGTCAAAGCACTTCATGAAATTTCAGGGAGGCTGCATTCCAGCTTCCCTGCCAACCTTACCAGCTTTCCCCGACAACATCCAATACACAGCTGTCACTTTGAATACAGCTCCTGCTGCAGGAAAATTAATTCCAAGAGAGAAAAACAGGTTGGAGGATGAGACCTTAACAATGAACTCATTATAAAAGCCAAACGTTCAGCCGGATGAATTCTGACTGTAAGACTGCAGAGACACACGAGGCCTTCTGCAAGCAGCCTCTCATCAGCTTCTTCAATGTGGGCGGGCCTGCCACCAGCTCCACAAACACTGGGAAGACGAGGACCTCCGGAAGAACTTCTCGGCAGCACGACCTTCCTTCAAAAAGGTGCCTGCAAATGTTTCCATACCCTGCAGGCTGGTCCAGAGGGCATGCGACCTTGTCTGTGGATGGAGGAGCAACTATGCGACCACCTTCGTCAGGCCCCTCAGCAACATTCCCGATGGGAGGTGCACGTGCCTGTCTGTCTGTGGGCTGTGCGCCCAGTAACGGGCTTCTGAAGTCAGACCATCCGTCTTTCGAACACGAGTTGCAGTGTTGTCACTTCCCGCTTCTGCAGGCCTGTGTGTAACCCAACTGTTTAAACGAAACCGGACTCAGTTGCTGTGCTAAGGGATCTGAAGCCCATAAGTGTAAATCATTCGGAATGAACTGTCTCCCTAACAAAATCAAAACAAAGTGGAATTTCTTGGAGTAACACTTTCAGTTTAAATCTGAAAACTTTCCTAGGCTAAGAGGATGGAAACAGACTTTGCCCAACTATATAAGTGCAACCAGCATCAAGTCCTGAAAACAGACTCCAAGAACCATCATGGCCCTGCCTGGGTGGCTCAGGTGGTTGGAGTGTGGTCCCGTACACCAAAAGGTTGCAGGCTCGATTACCAGTCAGGGCACATTCCTAGGTTGTGGGTTCCATTCCTGGTCAGGGTGCGTACAGGACGCAACCAATCCATGATTCCCCCTCAGAATAATGTCTGTCTGACTCTTGCTCTCGCTCCATCTTCCTCTCTCCCTAAAATCAATTTCAAAAAAAAAGAAGAACCATCATGAACCCACAGGCCTTTCCCCTCTAAAACTCTAGCATCACAACACACTGCCCACTACTCTGGGGAAACCGCAGTCTGCCTGTGGGGTTGTGTTGATTCAGCTAGCGAGGATGCACATCAGTTCTCAATACTGAAAAAAATTTTTGAGGGCCTGATGTCACACTGGAAAAGTAAAGAATGCTACCTGGTCAAAGACAAATGCGCTACCGATACTCATCCAAAACTTCAGTTTCCACACCAGAACTTCCTCCCTGGTCATCTGCCCTTTGAACCTGCCTTCAAAACAACTGCACTCCACACCCCCTACGGCTAGCCAGCTGACATCACAGAGGCAGGCACAAAACAGGGGCCCTAGCCCCCACACCTGCTGGGGGAGTCATTTCTGCTTCAAGTGTCCTCAGCATCAGCTCCTTCCTCTAGTCAAAGTCCACTTCCACAGAAGGCGGCCCCCAGAACGGGGCACAGAGGAGGGTCAGTGAAGGCTCTCCACACACCATCAGCTCAAAAGGAACACACCTTCCTGTCCCCCGCCCCCCAGCCATTTTTGCAGTGCTTCCCAGGTCATCACGCCCTTGCCCTACCTGCACCCAAACCTTGCATCAGGTGGCTCAGGAGACAAGGGCACAAACTCAAGGCGGACACATCCAAGACATGGCTTTTTCTCCTCCCCGAACTGTGCTAAAGGAAGCCTGGAGACACAGAGCTGCTTTAACCAGCTGCCTCAAGCCTCTTTCCAGGCCCCACATCTCTACAGGCTGCTGCTGTGACCCCTCTTAGGAAACTCACGTCTGCACAGTGGAACAAACCTACACTTCCACCTCTGATCAGCATGGGGCCCTCATCTCGCCAGCTCTGGACCTGGCTCAGGAACTGCTGCAGGGGCGTCACGGGGACAGGGATACTTCACGCTACATGAGGCCACATGAGAAGAAGCTATCTAATAGGGAGAGTGAAAGTCAGACCCCACTTCTTTCCAGGTTCTCTGCTTTCCCCGCTACAGGCCCGCACAGATAGAGCCACCCTTGCAAACACACAGCCACCCTGTCCAGGCGCCCGATTTTACATTTAACAAAACTGTCCAACTCCACAGTTCTTTTTCCAAAGGGAAGATTCCAAGCCTCACCCATTCAGAGTATCAGCCCTCAAATGAGGATGACCCAGAACCTCTTTCCAAACAGCTGCTTTCTGACAGTGTGAGGCTGCAACAGGTTCTGGGGGGTCACAGAGTTCAACTATCTGTCCAAAGAAGTACATGTGCGGTCCTTCCATGTGACGATGTCCCGCCAGCCTCAGCACTGTCAGCACATTCAGGCACAATCCCCGGGAAAGACCTCCTGGGCAGTGGCCCCTGAGGACTTCCTTAGACTGGAATGCTGCACTGAGTTGCCCAGCAGACACTCCCCCTGGCTCTCCTCACCTGAGGGGCAGGGTGGCAGCTGGGCCTCTGCCATGGCTCAGTTTCCACATCTGTAAAGCGGGAACCAGACCCCCCTCCAACACTGTTGGCAGAAGCCAAGCCACACGTGCGAGCTCTCCAGCCAAGTGCCTGCCTTAAGGGAAGTGCTCAATCAGTAGTACTACAGCATCGGGCTCACCTGCCTGTAAGCTGGGCTAGGCCATTTTCAGACTTCACAACTCCTAGTGACCCCCCTGTTGGCTCTACACACTTCAAGAAATGGGAAAATTCATCATTGGACGGGATTCTCACACAGTGATACCTTAAAATTCCGGACTTGAACAGGAAACTCACTTGAACCATGCAACTCTCCCTGTCCTTGCGTGAAAAAGCCAAGACTGGGGGCGTCTCTGCCAGAACGGGTGGGAAACACAGCATACGCTCACACACAAACGTACATGTGATGAAACCCAGCTCCAGACACAGAAACCTCGTTCCTCTCACTTCCTGACAGGAGAGCTACCCTTTATTCTGTAATTCATTTCTTCCCGTTGGATTCCAGCGTTGTTTGCACTAAAAAGCTGCCCTATGGGAAGAATACTCCACACAAACATCCATCACATGGAACTACCAAAACTAGGAGAAAATGTGCTCCTTTCCTCTTTCAATGGACGCCATCAAAGTGCACACGCTGCATTGCAACAATATCATTGTGCAAAAGTTTATTTTACAAACGTCCAGGATTATCCTCGGCCTCAGCCTCCACTGCAGTTGGCCAAGCATCCGAAATTGGGTTTTGCGTGTTAGCTCAGGCACCACATGTAGCAATGATCGAAAACATCCCTCTTGCCTTTCACCATCTTCCTCAACAGAACAGGTCCTCCTGTCCTGTTCTTAGACTTTGGATTATCATCACCCATCTCTACAAGCCAAGTGTTCTTAACATGAATTCCACCGACGGGCTGCAGAAGGTTCGAGGGCTTCCTGGAGTAATTACAAAACTCGGTGCAGCTGTGTGTTTTTCTCAGGCCAGGATGCACACCTTCCATCAGATTCTCAAAGAGGCTCATAACTCCCCCAAAAAGAGAAGGGGGTCAAGTGCTTTCAAGGGTCTTCCTTCATTTAAGGGGTTTGCTTTTTCGAACCAAACTTGGCAAGCTGTCTAGACATCCTTCCATCACTCACCTCACATTCGCACACAAGGTATAGATCTTTAATCTGTCTTCCCAAGAGTCCAAAACTTAGTGGAGTAACAAAAAAGAAAAAGAAAAAAAAGAACCATAAAAACACGAGGGATACATTTAGCAACACAGGGAAAACACAGAAACACTAGCGATACTTTTAACAAAACATTGAACTCCACAAGCCTTTTCTTTTTCTTTCCCCCTAAACTCCCTCCTCCCTGTCACTGTCCCTCTCCCCGCTCACCCCCTACCCCCCGCAGTAGCTTCCAGCAAAGCCAGCCTCCCAGGGGCTTCCCACAACACCTGTGCCGGTGCCGGAGCGCGGACTCCAGACAGGAAAGCACGGGCAGAGCACGGAGTGTCGGACTCCAAGCTAACCAGGAATTTGGAAGGCCCGGGGCACCTGGTGCTTCGAGCAAGAGCTCGCACCTCCCGCTTCTGCTGCGGACTGAGGCACGGGGACCCCGTTTCCCAGGCGAAGGCTCGCAGCGGCTCCTCCGCACACAGAACCAAAGGTAACCCCGGAGGCTCGGCTCCAGGCCGCGCCGAAAACAAACTTTCCAAACACTTCCACCGCAATGGCCGGTGACAACTCCCAGGCTTCCCCCGCCCTCCGTGCGCCTGTCAGGATCCCAGCTGCCCCCGGCACACGCTGCACCCGGACCGGGCTCCCCTCGGCGGCTGAGCGGCGTCCCCACGGTGCCCACGGTTCCGCCCTCCTGCCCAGCCCCAGATGAGACGCCACCCGGCCCTCGGAACCCCGGCCCGCCTCGCTTCGCTGGACCCAAGCGTCCGCCGCGCTCGGAGAGGTGACAGGCCCGTGCGCCCGGGCTGCTGCGACCGCGCTCACCAGCTGGCTGGTGGTCCTGGCCATAGGCCCCGCGTCCGCTTGGGCACCTCACCGCAGCGCTGCGCGGCTCGGCGCCTCCTCAGCGTCCTCCTCCCCGCAGCGGAGTTCCAGCAGAGGCCGCCCTCATCCAGCACCTGCCCAGACGCTCACAGCCCCCGGCACCGCCCCGCTCCCGCGCGTCGCTGGGCGGGACTTCCGCTGAACCGCCGCTGCCAACAGCATCCATTGGTGGTGCCCGCCTGTCGCGTCGCCGCAGCCCCAGTGGGCCTGGTTGACACCTCCCAGCCCCATTTCCGGGTCGAGGCCCGGCAGGCTGGAGCCGCTGGACCCGCCTGGGGGTGGGGGGGCACGTCCCAGTGGGAGCCAGTTCCAGGGCCGCTGGGCGGTGCCGCGCTGTGGAGGGGGCGAGCTGTCATCCCAGCGTCCCAGGCGGGGAAAATGAGGTTCGCAGGGGCCTGGACCGGACCGGCCGTCCAAGGTCATTAACGATTAACAGGCAAGGCTGGGCTCCAGCCCACCTCTCGGACTCAGAAGCTGGGCTCTGCGTAAACAGGGGAAAGCGAACCTTTACTAGTTTCCAAACTAAGAAGTGTTCGCTGTAGGAAATTTAGGCTCTCAAGTCGTATTTATAAGGCAGAAAACAAGCCTCATTTCGTCTCTCCTAATAGTCCCAGGAACACTTTCAGAACTGGTTTACTCATCATTTTTTTGTAGTTGATGATATTGAATTCCTTTGAAAGTTGTTATTGTTGATGATGATGCTATTGTTGGTTTTTTAAATTGTGGTAAAATGCACATAAAATTTACCACATTAACCGTTTTAGTAAACGCTTTAATGGCATTAACTACATTCATATTGTGGGGCTAAGATGATGTTTTAAACAAAACTAGAGTCATCTTTGTTACCTGAGGGTTTACATATTTTAAATAACCTTTATTTTTCCATATCCAAAATTGTATGTATTTTTTTAAAAGAACACTTTAGGGAATACAGAAGTAACTATAAAATAACTGAGCCCTTAATTCACACTGGCCAGCATCAATTGTTGGGTAGCAGTAATAGCCCCACTAACATCTACTCAGCAGCACTTAGTCTTGGTAAGGAATTTTCATGTCTGATCTCATTTACCCTAAACAAGCATCCAGTTACCTTGCCCAGCTTTTCAGACAAGGAAGCTGAGGCATAGAGCAGCTCTGTGACTTGCCCTAGGTCTTGGAGTGCCAGACCCAGGATCTTCATACTCACATGCCAGAGGCTGTCCTTGGACCACTATGTGTTTGTCCAAACTTCTAGTCCTTGGCATTTACTTATCTTTAAGAACAATAAAAATGCCCTGGCTGGTGTGGCTCAGTGAACTGAGCACTGGTCTTCAAACAAAAGGGTGGCCAGTTCAATTCCCAGTCTGGGCACATGCCTGGGTTGCAGGCCAGGTCCACCCCCGGGTGCTCAAGAGGCAACTGTACATTGATATTTCTCTTCCTCTCTCCCTTCCCCTCTCTAAAAATACATAAATACAATCTTAAAAAAATAAAAATAAATAAAAGGCAGGGATAACCTCTGTCCCCCAGAAGGTCTCCTGCTCCTTTGATACTCACCCTTTCACTTAACAAAGTATCATCCAGGAGAACTCTACTGGAAGCAGCCCAAAGCTTATAGATCCATGTGTTGATAAAGCTCCATCCTACCTTACAGTGAAGCGGTTCCCAGCCTTTTCCCCCATGAACAAGGCCCTGTGCTTAAATACAGCCATACCCTTACTTATTTCCTTAGTCTAACTTCTTAGCAGATAAACTGCTGGGTCAAAGCACAGGCATTCCCCTCAGGACTTTTGACACATGCTGATAATTGCCCATTGCTGGCCCCTCTCCAGATATTCTCACCCTCAGTGGACACAAAGACAAGCTCAAGGTAGATGTCAGCTCTTGCTACCATACCAAGACACACCCAACATTTGGGAACATTTGGGGACACCGGGCACATTAACCCACATCAATAACCCCTACTGTGGAATATGTATCTGATAAGCACCTTTGCTCAGAAACCTACTGAAGGATGTGCTTGTCTGAATGAGCAAGTAAGCCCAGAGAAAAGGCATGAGATCCAGGAAGCAGGAAGGAGAACACGCAGGAGGAGGATGACGGGAGTCCCAGGGTTTGTCTGTTCCGCAAATAAGTGTGAGCATTCCCACCACGCCAAGCACTGTGATGGGTATCAGGTATTTGTTGGTGACAAAACACAAAAATCTCTGCCCTCGTGGGACTCCGGTACCACTGGCTTATGGTTGGGGGTGGGGGTGAAGACGGCAAGCATAATAAATAAGCAAATCCCATGGGATGTTAGAAGGTAGTAAGCGCTGTGGGAGAGATAGAAAATCAGCAAAGGGAGGACTCGAGTGTGCAGGGAGTCAGTACAATTTTACAAGGATAATGAGGAGAAATCCCGGATAAGAATGGGGAACGCGCACACTCAAGGGCTCCAGAAAAATACTTAAACTGATAGATTCTCTAGTGGGTTTCACCACATAAAGGTTTTTAAATTAATTTATTAATTGAGTGATTTTAGAGAGAGGGTGGAAAGAAGAGAGAGGGAGAGTGAGAAACACCCACTGATGCCTTCATTGGTTGATACCTGTGTGTGCCCTGACCGGCAAGGTCTCTGGTTCGATTCCCAGTGAGGAGGGCCCATGCCTGGGTTGCAGAGGAATGAGGAAAACCTCAGAAAAACAGCCGTAGTAGAAAGTAAACACAAACACAGTTTCCTAGGCATCCCAACTCATCTCAGCTGTCAGAGATATTTATTCATAGTACAGATTAACTGATTTAACCAGTAATTATCACACTCCACCTGGTAGGACCTGGAGATGGAAGGAGGTAAGGAGTGAGTTGACTTTTCATCTCTTTTGCCAGAAAGGCAATAGATAATGACTGTAAGTGATGAATCAATACATGAAGTATCTCAGTTCAAAGACATTATTTAGCAAGTTGGACATAAACCACAGGAAAAATATTGAAACCTGTAGTAAGTAGAATATGAGTATGGACACATGAGGCATGGCTACTGTTTCTCATTATAAGCCTTTTTAAAACCACCAGGCATCTGTAACATTGATGGAAATAAAAAATAATAAAATGGGTGCTTGCTTCGGGAGCACATACACTAAAATTGCACGGATACAGAGATTACCATGGCCCCTGAGCAAGGATGACACGCAAATTGGTGGAGTGTTCCACATTTTAAAAATTAACAAAATGAGCCTGTCCTCTTTGTGGAAACTCTAAGAAGCTCTCAATCATGAATGTAAAGCTGTGCGTGGATCTTCCCAACATCATAGTTTTAATGTGACATAAGAAATGAAGAAGAAACCAAAATTATTTTCAACAAAATGATAAATTTTGATACACCCATGTTGGAAAATTCTATGTAGTTACTAAAAAGAACAGGGCAAAGCTCTGAAGGCAGAGCAACAAGTTGGAGATGAACTGGAGTCTTTTAACTCTTTTTTAAATCAGAGCCTATGGCACCAAAGATGGCCATGCAGTTCCTGAGTAACTCAGAGTACAGGAAGGGGAGAAAGAACATGGTGAACACTAGAGCCTGGTGGGGCAGCAGGTGGAGCCCCCCTCAGGGAAGGGGGGAGGGGAGGGGTGGGGTGGTCCTGAGAAAGGTGGCTGAGCAGAGAGCAGGAGCAGGGCGGGGAGTGGCAGCAGAGAGAGGAAGATAGGACCATTCTCAGTTCTTGTGGGGCCTGAATGGCAACCAGTGTGCAGAGCCCAAGCCAGGCCAGTCCAATCCTCAGTCCTGGCAAGAGGCAGGGTATATGGATCGAGTTACCCCAAAACTTAAAGGCATAAAGCAGCATTATCTAATGTTTTCTGAGTCAGGAGTCAGACGCAGCTAGGGTGGGAGCGAGAAGAGATGGAACTGTCCATGTTGGGATACAGTGGTTGGTTGTTAAGTTAGGGAACCTCCAGTTTGGAGAACACTGGCTTCCTTGCTCCAGTGGTGAGACTCATGTACCCCCAGAGGAGCACTTGGCTTCACGACGTTTAACTAAAAAAACAGTAAAGGCCCAGTGCTATATAGAGTGCAATGTCAGTTTAGAAAACAAACCCAAACAGAAAAGTGGAAAAAAGTGCAGGATCACACTGCAACTGCACCAGCTGTTAATGTTGGAGGGCTTGGCCACCCTGAGAGGAAGTGGGGAGGATAGGTTAGGAGGTTTGGGTTGTCTGGACGTCCTTAGGGTCATGATGGGCAGGGAAACAAGGAGGTACCAAGGAGCAATGGAAGCGGGAGCACGGTGTGGCCCCAGAAGCAGTGCAGGGGCGGAGCCCAGCAGGTTGAGGCCACATCCGGTCCGCAGGGTGTGGTGAGAGGTGTTGGGACTCAGGCTCCCAGGCGCCCTCCCGGCTTCCGGGCCACCCTTTCACTGGTTTAGAGGACAATGTCAGATGTCAATATCAATGTCCCTGCGGCTCTGACATGGCACGTGCCTCCCTTTGGGGATCTAACCAGCCCCACAGGGCCCACCCCTCACAAAGGAGTTTCTTCCTGGCATGCTGCACCCCATCTTGGATCTGAGGTTCCACACTGATCTAGTGCCTCTGGGTGCCCTCAGCCCAGGACACAGCAGAGCCAACTCTATCTGTTGGGGGTAAAATGACACAAAATGTTAGACTACTGCAGTCAGACTGGTCCTGGGTTCAGCATCCTTGGTACTGGAGTTCTGGCTAAGAAAGAATCGAAATAAGACTAACTCTCAGAGAAAGTTTATTTAGAAAATCAGAGGTAGAAGTGAGCCACAGAAAAAATGGGCTCAGGAAACAAATCACAGAGGCAAAATAAGGGCCCCTGTTGCTTAGGAGAGAGGCAAGGAAAACACTCATGGGGGGAAGGGGACAGGGAAAGGCTTGGGGGTGCTCCATGGAACTGCTCTGGGTCCTCAGTAGTGAGGGCTTTTATATGCAGGTCTCAGGAGTGGATCTCAGGATATGCATCAGCTTTCCAGTAGTAGCTCCTTAGGGTTGTGATCACTGATTGGTTAGCACCAGGACAGAGGGTCATTAGTCATTGCAGCTCGCTTCTGAGTCTGGAGCTAAAACCCAGCTGAGGCCTGGCCATCATCTCCAGGGGCTATTGCTGAAGGGAGTGGTAATGAAAGGACTTAGAGTTTTGCCCCACTGCTAAGCACCTGGGGCTCTCAGCCCTGGTGGCCCTCTGCACCTGGCTACCTTTCCTACTCTGCTCATGCTATTTAACTGCCTACCACAGATTCACCGTTAAAGCCCTGTTACTCAGACCCAGCCCCTATCCGGGGTGTGGCTGCTGCCGTCCAACCCCCCCTCCATAAATCAGTCTCCAGCCCTCAGCGCACCTTCCCCTGTGATGTCTTTGTCATCCTGATGTGGAGCTGAGGCTTCAGAAGGGATCCCTCCAGCATCAGGGCCCACATGTGGTTGGCACAGTCTATGTGTGTCAAGTGAAAGCCACTGGGCTCCCAAACCTGGCAGTCAGGAGGCCCTCGCTATGACCAACAGCTGGCCCTAGAGTCTTCCCATTCATGCACATTAAGCAAGCCAGGGAGATGCTGGGGACACACCGGTCACCTCCCCAGGGATCCCATCCCAGCCTCTCAGTGAGTCACTCTGACTCACCACTGAGTCAGGGGCAAACCTAGCATCACTACCTCTGCCCTAGTCCACACCCACAGTAGGGCAAGCTTGTCCTCCCATTTCACTTGTCTCTGGTCCCACTGCCACCTCACAGTCAGCCCCACAGGGCCTCCTTGCCACCCCCAGCACCACACCCCCTAGCAACTTGAAGGCATACTTAAAATGGCAGCCTCAGACTCAGAACCAAAGTGGACAGGCTGGTGCGAGGGCTGGTGGAGGGGGAATCTGGGTTAGCGTTCAATGGGTGCAATTTCCGTCTGGGGTGATGAAAATGCTCTGGAGATGGTGGTGACGGTTGCACAACAGTGTGCATGTGCCTGACACCCATAGCCGGTACACCGAAAAATGCTAAAGATGGTCGCTGCTATGTATATTTCACCACAACTTGAAAAATAAAAATGAACCCTGGTTGGCGTGGCTCAGTAGATTGAGTGACAGTCTGGGAAGTAAAGGGTCACTGGTTTGATTCCCGATCAGGGCACATGCCTGGGTTGCAGGCCAGGTCCCCAGTAGGGGGGAGCGTTGAGAAGCAACCATACATTGATGTTTCTCTCCCTCTCTCCCTCCCTCCCTTCCCTGCTCTAAAAACAAATAAAATGTAAAAAAAATAAGTAAAATGAAAATGAAAAAAGGACCCTCCAGTCACTGTCCCAACACTTCTGAACTACCCCCACAACAACTGCAGGGCCCAGCTCCGGTCCCCCATCCCTGGACCTCTCTCCAGCCCCAGCGGCCATTAGTTCTCCCCCACCACACGAAGCCTGTGTGTCACTGGCCTTTGTAGGGCAGTTCCCTTTGCCTGAAGTGCTCTTTCTTCCCAGCCAGAGCTGGCTCCTGTCATCTCTGGTGTCACCTGGCTGGCCACCATCTCAACCAGTCCCAACCAGTCCTTCTATGATTCTCCACCCAGACACACCTTAGTGACACACCTAGGGAGACTCCCAGGGTTGTCCAGGCCAAATGCTGGCCCTGACACTCCCCTGCTCTGGGACTCAGTGCCCCAGACAACAAACAGGACATGCCTCTGGATTTTTGGCAGGCAAACGGAGCAAGTGAATACCCACAGATCACTAGGACAAGGCCTGGCACCACAAAGCTGACAACCACTGCTCACTTTCTAACCTGCCCTCTCCTGGGGACCTCTGCTAGGGCCAAGACGACTCAAAGGTGGACTCCAGCTACAGGGCACAGGACACGGGTGAGCACGTACTGCCCACCAACACAGGCAGGCTCGCCCACAGCTACGCAAACACCAAAGCGCAGGATGGCTCATCACACCCTCCTGGGAGCGGGAGCAGGAGATAAGTTGTTCAGAAAAGACACCAGAAGAGCTGGAGCCTGAGTGATCCAAGAGCTCATGAAGGTGGAATGGGGCTGGGCAGGCTACGGCCAGCTCAGGCACCCTTCAACCATGCCCTCTGCACCCAGCTGAGCAGCCTGGGGTCCTGGAGCTAGCGTGGATTCCTCTGAAGGTAGGGGAGCAGTTGCAGGGGGGTGTGCCCAGGCCCTGCACAACTCCAGTGTAAAGACCGAGATCACAGGACACTCACATACACCTGGTCTCCCAAACCTCTGCAGTGCCTACCTGAGGCCTTTCCCTGCCCATCTCTTAATTTGTCTCCATGATCAATGCTTCCCTGTTTAAAATTCCAAGATGGATCTTTTCCCTCAGCCCACACAATAAGCAAACTTCTGAAGTTGTCTATATTCACAGTCCCCAAGCCCGTTCCTGCCAGCTTTCAGCTTTCCAACCTATCGCCCGTGGCTTCCCCGCTCAGGTCTTCATTCATTTCCAAATGACGCATTTGCCTGCAGGTCTGCAGACCTCAGACACAACCTTGCAACAGAAAGGGGCCCTCCCATCACTTTCGTGGACCCCACAAAGCCTCCTCGCAGGGCCGAGCTGAGCTGGAGTCCAGCCACTCACAACCCTAAGCCACAAACACCCCCCGGCCCCCAGGACGACCATCAGGGTGACAGTGGAAACAGCAAGAAGCCCACTTTGAAGCAAAACTCGGAGACCAGGCAAGTCCAGTGGGGTACACGGTTTATCCAAGCCAGCTGCCTCCAGGGCCAAGGCCATCCACCTGAGGCAGGGTTCCTACTCACTCCTCGGAGACCAGCTCCTAGATGGCCCAGCACTGACAGTGTCCAGATGGGGCTGGGTGTCCTTTCCAACTGTAGTCCTTGGCTACTGCCGGGCCTCCTCTGCCTGCCACACCAACTCGCCCGAGATGTAGGTGGCCCGGACGTGGAGGGAGTCGTCAAGCATCACAAAGTCTAGGTCAGAGATGGGCTGTGAGAAGGCGGCAGGGGTGTGGCTGCCCCCACCATCCCCCAGCCCAAGGATGACAGGAAACCAAGGCCTGGGACACGACTTGTGGAGGATGCCCTGACCCAGCACAGATTGACTGAGGCCCTGGAACCAAGACTCCCGGCAGCAGGGGGGGCAAGAGATAAAGGTCCCAGCGGTGCTTTGTCTGACTTTGTCTCAGATGCCAGAACGCCTGGTCTGATGGGAAAGTGGGGCCAGACCGAGGCTGGTGGCCAGGTAAGGCTGCCTGGACACAGGAAAGATCTCACTCTTCTGACCTCCCTGCCCCTGTTCCAGCCTCCCCAAAACTCCTGAGTCTTCAGGCTGCCCAGGCCGCTCCACACGGGGCTCTAACCTGCATCGGCCCCGAAGTCCAGGGTTCCCTTGTGCTTCTCCAGTCCTAGCAGCTGGGCAGGGTGCAGTGACGCAGCCTCCAGGGCGGACTCCACACTGCAGCCTGCTCAGGAAACACGGCTGGGTGACCATCTTCAATCCCCAGCTGGCTCCGTAGGTGCCCCATCCCCACAGCACCGGAGCTCCAAGTCCTACAGACTGGGTTGGGGGACACATCCTAGGCCTCTGTGGCAGGTTGACAAGGTCCCCCAGTCCCATCGTTCCCAGCCACTCTCCCATCCCAGCCCTGCAGGGACCATCTGGACCCAAATGCTCATGGGCCCCTCCTCCACCTGAGTCCCAGGGACAGCACCCCATAACAAAGTAGTGTGCTGGGCATCTGTGAGGCCGCTTGGGACTAGATGCTCTGCCCCTACTCTCCACCAAGAAGTAAAATGAACCCAATTCTCTCCGCCCCGCCGTACCACTCCCTACCAGGCCAGACCACAGCTTTCTCTTGCCTCTCAGCCTGTCTCCTTGCTGCTCTAAACAGAACCTTAGACCGTGGTGACCCTCAGCCCCCAGCGTAACAACCCTACCCTGGGTGCTGCCGAGCATCCCACGGGGCTTGGCCAACCACAGCCTCTGCCAGGTACCCTCTACCCACCTTCCCTGGAACAGACAGTCCCCCGAGAGGCCTCCACATAGCTTGACCCTGGAGCCTTAATCGCAGCTCTGGCCCCCCTCACCTCCCCACAGCTCTGCACCTGGCAAGTCTCACAATCCCATAGGGCCCAGGCCAACACCCTTCTCTTGGATGCCATGGTTTGGGTGCCTGTCACCCTGGGTTCCAGCCATTCGCTTGCTCGTCCTCCTCTTCCCCCACTTGTAAACTCCCTACGGGTGGGTCCTTGGCCACATGACCAGTGCCCGTCTCCAGGGAACCCCACGAGACCTGACAGACTAGGGGTGTGGGCACAGGACCCTAGTGGTCCCCACTATTCCCTGCAGCCTCTCTCGGATGCAGCCTCCACTCCCAACACGCACACACACACCAGCCTTGCTGACCTGTGGCCTGCAGGAAATGCCGAACACAGACGTCCATCGGGGCTATGCTGCCGCTCAGTGTCTTCGTGCCTTGAGAGCAGAGAGGACAGGCTCTGGGGGGCGGGGAGGGGCATGGAAGGCCACTGGGCACACTGGATGGGGTGTGGGTTGGCAGGGGTCACCTAGGCTCTTGCATTCCACCAAAGGGGCTCTTCTAATGTGGGCAGCCAGTGGGGACAAGGGTCACTCACCTGCCACATAGGCCGTCAGCCCATCTACCTCCACCTCCTGCTGCCCCAGCGTGTGACGGCCATTGCCCAAGCCCAAGGCAGGGACAGCGTCAGTGACCAGCACCATCCCTGGGGATGAAGAGGCCTCAGAACCTGCCTCACCTGGTATTCCGACTTGCCACCACCCTGCCCAGCTGCTCACCCTGGGGGTGGGCCCGGTGGGCAATGCGCAGGGCAGCAGGGTTGGTGTGCGTGCCGTCGGAGATCATCCCGTAGAAGATGTGGCGACCTGGAGGCAGCCGGTCACTGGTCAGGAGGCCCACAATACCCGGGTCACGGTGGTGGAACTGGGCAGGGTGAGGAGAGAGAATGCTGAGCCACAGCAGGAGCCTCGACTCCACCCTCCTGGGAGCTGGGCAGCACTCACAGGCAGCATGGCATTGAAGAGATGGGTGATGAAGGTGGCGCCACTCTGCACGGCTTCCTCTGCGACCCTCAGGTTGGCCACCGAGTGCCCTGCACAGGGGCCTTGAATCAGATCCTGTAACCAGCCCGGCCCCTCCAGTGGGCCTGCCCCCTCCAGTGGGGACACTTCCCCTCACCTAGGGACACACAGATGCCTCGGGCCGTCAGTGCCTGGATCACCTCATGGCTGCGGCCGAGCTCAGGAGCCAGCGTCACGATGCGAACGTTGTCCAGGGACCCGTAGGTGGCCAGAACATCATGGAAGGCATTGGCCTCGTAAGAGCGCAAGTGGGCCTCAGGGTGTGCACCTCGCTTCTCCCGGCTGATAAATGGGCCCTCCAGGTGCACCCCTGGGAAAAGGGGAGCAGATGGCTACAACAGGCCTCCCACCCTCTAGCCTCTGCTTTGGCCCCTCTCATCTGCCCGCCCTACCGCCCCATTTGGGCATCTGGAGGTGTACAGACTGCCAATAGGTCCCCAAGGAACATTCCAGGGTAGGGTCAGGGGGGAGGGGTCAGCCACTCACCGAGGACCCCTGCCCCATGGGGACCACCACTCTTCACTGGGATCTGAGGAAGGACCTGGGGGGAACCAGCTGTTAAAGCTCTGCCTCCCACGGCCCAGCACCCAGAGGTTACAGCCCAGCCGAGGTCAGAGTTCAGAGCCCAGCCCAGTGCCCGCTGGCCTTCCACAGTTATCAGAAGATGGTCAGAGGCTCCCAACGGTCAGGGAAAGCACGGTGCTCAGAACAAGCAGCACACAAGGTCAGGAGCACCAAGAATAGACAGGCCTTGGGATGTAAGACCAGCCTGCCTGTGAGGACCAGGAGAGTCCCCAGGCAGGGGGATAGGTGCATGGACACTGAGGGCAGCTCCACCTGTCCTGGCCCTCAAGATGACCCCAGTCCTAGCAGCAGCTGGAACACAGTGAAGTGCATGCCCTGAAGGACTGGACCCAGACAGGGTGATGGGCCTGGCCTCCCTGATGGCCGGAGGCAGGAGTGCATGCAATCCAGGCAGAGTGAGGCGGCGAGGCAGGGGCTCAGGCATCAATGGTGCAGCCATGCTGTGCCTGGAGCTGGACACAGTCGGGAGAGTCAATTGTGTGACAAGTGTTCACACGACACAGTATCTTGGAGGCGGACAGGCAGGCAAGCATCCCAGCAGGGAGCCCATAGGATACTGCGGAGTCCCTGGGGTGAGCCTGGGACAAAGTACAGAGAAGTGAGAGGCTTAAACCCAGTGGGACAGAGAAGACAGGAGGGGAGGCTGACTCGGGAGTCTGGCAAGTGGAAGCTGGACAGATGTGGGCAGCACAGTGGGGCAGGCAGGAAACAAGACCCACGGCCCCCATGGGTTCAGGCCCTGGCAGCACCTGGTGCCTGGAGAAGTGGGGGGACCAACAGCAGGAGCCTTGCTGAAGAGTAGCTGAATCCCCCAGTGTGCCCTGCCAAGTGCTTGGAGCAGTAAGCCAGACAGGTGGGTAGAAGCAGATAATGGGGCAATTAAATGAAGTTCATATTTTTAATGCTCCTGGAATGTCACCAGTCAGGACTGTTCCCTCTGAGCAGAACAAGAAAACTCTTCTCTGGGGTTCCGATCAGCCTGAGAGAAAGGACTTAGGGGTCTCACCCTAAGGGTGCCCTCAGGAACCTCCCTAGGCTGGGTGCTTCTGGTGGCTGGCTGAGACCTTCTCTCCATCGGAGCAGATGACCAAGGCCCCCCAGCGGCGTGGGCAAGCCTCTGAGAGGACACACAGAAAGCAGAACAAATGAACAAGTGACAGGATACAACCGACTGCGGAGCAGACACCCAAGGAGAGGACTTGTGAGAAGAGGTTTCACACCCATGAAACAAGAATGGGATGTTAGAAAAAAGAAACATTCCTGGGGAAAAGCACACACGCAAGTGCCCCCAACACGAACGGGAGCAGGTCAGACAGACGCGGAGCTGCCGGGCCGCAGGGGCCGCCACGCACACCTTCTACCTCACGGCGTTGAAATGTAAAAACAGAAAAAAAATAACCTTTGGACTGGGCTTAAACAACACTGTACTCCGAAAAACCGTTTGCAAAGATAACAGGGAATTATTATGACTACTGAACTGAAAGTTGAAAATATCACTTACAATTAATATCACTATGTTATATTATCCACAACAACAAAAATGCCTTCCTTCTACTGATGTAATTGCTCTCCTTTCCTTCTCATAAATACCCACTGCCTTTGTCTCCAAATCAGAACAATATTTGGACTTCCCCTCAATCAATGCTTTCCAAATTTTTTAAAATCTCAAACCCTTGTTTGCCTCTCACCTTAAAATGCCTTCTTATTTTTAGGTTAACAAAAATGTGCACTGAAGCAAAGAGAGAGAGATAGAGAGAGAGAGAAGAGACAGAGAAGGAAGAAATGGAAGATTAAAAAAACTAAGAAAATGTCCAGAAAACAGAGTCAAAAAGGAAGAGAGAGAAAAAAGAGAAGCCATCCAAGAGGCCCAATAGGAGAATAACTCCCAGAAGGAAAAGACAGAGAAATGAGGGAGAAAAATCATCAAAGAAATAATTCAAGAAAAACAAAAAATCTCCGAACTTCCAGATTGAAACTCTGAATTTGGGGAGGATGGGAGGCTGGAAGGGCCTGCTAAAGGCTAGCACAGTAGATGAACTGCCCCCAGTCCCCAGTGTGTCACCCAGAGACTTTAGAACCCAGTGACAAAAGGAAGATCCCACAAGCTTGGAGAGGGAAGAAACAGGTCACGTACAAAGGATCAGGGGTCAGATGGCTTCCAGCTTCTCATCAGCAACTCTGAAAGTTAAAAGACAATATAGCAATGCCTTCAAAATTCTAGAGGACTTCCAGTCAAGATGGCAGCGTGGGCAGACATGCCTCGCCTCTTTGCACAACCATAACAAAACTACAACTAAAATATAGAACCACCATCGCTCAAAACTGACAAAAATCTGGTTGAATGGAAAACTGACAACTACAGAATTAAAGAAACCACATCCATCCAAACTGGTAGGAGGGATGTAGCCGTGGAATGGCCCACATCCACATATGGTGGAGAAAAATTTGGGAGAGATATCTCAGGAGCAAGGAGTCCCAGACCCACACCAGGCCCCCCAGCCCAGGGTTCTAATGCCAGAAAGATAAGTCCCCACAACTCCTGGCTGTAAAAACCAGCAGGGACTGAGTCAGTGGAAGGAACTGCTAGAATACCAAGCAGTTCCTCTTGGAACCCACAGACTCAACTACTCAGACTCACTCTTCCCTCTGGGCTCTGGTGACAGGGTGGCGGCTTGAGGGGCACTAGTGACATGCAGGGGGAGGCTGATATGTCTGGCATCAAGGTGAGCAGAGACCACTGTCCCTTTTCTGAGCCCTCTCCACCCCACAGAGCTGGCAGACTGGTGCCATAGCTAAGATTCCATCAACCTGGCTAATACTGTTTGAGCAGCCTTGGAGATCCCCAGAGACTCCACCCCACCTAAATTACAGGCCCACCCAAGCTGCTTTCCCACATGAATGGTCTTGGCTCATTTTTCACAACTTCCTAAATCCTCTCAAACAGGCAGCAGCTGGCTTCATTGAGCTCGAGGCCTGGAACTGGCAGCCTAGATTCACAATTTGGCTTTGCCTGGAAATCACCAAGCCCAGCACCAGAAGCAGCCATCTCAGATTGCTTTACAGTTCAGGCAGTATGGCCCAGGGCAAAACACAGGTGGGGGCTGATCTTAGTGCGTACCACCCAAGAAACCCCAGGGGCCAGCACACCCAGTGCACAACTGCAGACCACGTCACAGCACCTCCACCCTGCCCCTGCACAGCTGATCCTCCATGGAGGGTGGAGGTTAATGGTATGTGGTCACAGCCAATCCCTGCAGCTGATTAGCCTGGTAAATCCCTCCCATTGATCTGCCAACAGCAACCAAGGCTCAGTTACAAGAGGGGGGGTGTACTCAATCCATATGAAGGGCATACCTCGAGTATGCAGGCTAGATGATAGGGGAGGCTGTGCCACTGGATTCTACAAGACACCCACTACATTAGGCCACATTACAAAGATTGGGAGTCAAAGCAGCTCTACCTAATACATAGAAACAAACACAGGGAGGCTGCCAATATGAGGAGACAAAGAAACATGGCCCAAATGAAAGAACAGATCAAAACTCCAGAACAGGAACTAAATGAAATGGAGATAAGCAATCTATCACATGCAGAGTTCAAAACAATGGTTATAAGGATGCTCAAGGAACTTAGTGAGGACCTCAACACTATAAAAAGGATCCAGTCAGAAATGAGGGATACACTAACTGAAATTTAAAACAATTTACAAGGGAACAACAGTAGAGCAGATGAAGCGGAGAATCAGACCAATGAGTTGGAACATAAGGAAGCAAAAAACAACCAATCAGAACAACAAGAAAAGAGAATACAAAAGATGAGGATAGCCCTGACTGATGTGGCTCAGTGGTCTGAGTGCTGGCCTATGAACCAAGGGGTCACCAGTTCAGTTCCCAGTGAGGGCACATGCCTGGGTTGCAGGCTGGGTCCCTGGTGAGGGGCACACAAGAGGCAACCACACACTGATGTTTCTCTCCTTCTTTTTCTCCCTCCCTTCCCCTCTCTAAAAATAAATAAATACAATATTTTAAAAAACCCAAAAGACAAAAAAACAAGGACAGTGAAATCAGCCTCTGGGACAACTTTAAACAATCCAACATTCACATCGTAGGAGTGCCAGAAGAGAAAGAGCAAGATATCAGAAATCGATTTGAAAAAATAATGACAGCAAACTTTCCTAATTTGGTGAAGGAAATAGACATGCAAGTCTAGGAAGCAGAGAGTCCCAAACAAGAGGCAAAGAGGCCCATCCCAAAACACATTATAATTTAAATGACAAAGGTTAAAGATAAAGAGATTTAAGGGTGGGTGTGGGAGAATGGGTGAGAGGTGAGGGGATTAAGAAGTACAAATAGGTAGTTACAGAATAGCCATGGGGGTGTAAAGTAGAGTATAGGAAACGGAGTAGCCAAAGAATTTATACACATGACCCATGGACATGAACAATGGTGTGGGGATAGCCTGAGGGAGTGGGGGTGCTGGGTGGAGGGGGACAAACAGGGAAAAATTAGGACCACTGTAATAGCATAATCAATAAAATATAATTAAAAATAAGTACATAAAATTCTAGAGAAAAATGGCTGTTCACTTAGAATTCTAACATAGCCAAAACATCAATCAAGAGAACAAAGACATTTTCAGACCTTTGAGATCTCAGAACCCTTACATGTCATGACCTCCTCTTCTCCAAAAGTCACTGGAGGATATGCTCACACCAAACAAAGGCGTGAACCAGCAAAGAGGAAGACACAGGATACCGGACAGAAAGATCCAGCAGAAAGGGACCCCCCCAGCCAGGCGAGAGGAAGGGGACTCCCAGGACAACTCATCCCAGTGAGACAGGCAGCCAATGCTGGGAAGAGTAGGTCCCAAAGGCTTCCACAGAGAGGAAACAAATGGAACCTTGGGCTGTCTAAATATCCTGAAAGGAGAAAGAAACGAAGGGTAGAAAACTTGGAATTGAGTTAATAGATTAAACAAACAAACAAACAAACCCTATGTAAACAGAGGAATAACTCCAAGGAAAACAGAGTTGACAAGAAAAGTTAAATGAGCTACAATCCCTCTACACAGTCCCAACGACTAAGCTAACCAAAATTACAATGAACTATTTGGGAAGGATGAGGGGCTGGAAGAGCATGAGAGAGGGCTCGAGGCGCCAGAGAGAGCCAATCCTTATCTTTCACAGCGGGGAGGAAGTAAAGGTATACTGCCATGAATGGAAGAGTCACGCAGGAGTACCAGCACAGCTCTTTTAGCTATTTTAAGGGCAAATTCCAAAGGGTCAACTGAGTTGAAAGTGATTGTCCCTCAGTGGGAACAAAGGGCTGCTATTTTTTCCTAATGAGCCATGTGACATATATAAACTCACTAAAGATTAAGGAAGAAACAATGAGTGGGTTTTACAAGGGAAACTGAAAGAACACTAAGCAGAGGGAACGGAGTATCAAGGGCAGCCTGGAGCTGGAGGGAATGAGGTGCCTACAAGGGAAGGAGGCAGTGGGAAGGTCAAACTGCAGAGGGGGCATGATCTTGTCTCTGCAGAAATGGACCTCAAGCAGAGAACAACGCAAGGAAATCTTTCTCCTAAAAGGGAAACAGAGGGCAAGGGTGGAGGAGACCGCAGAAAAAGAGCAGATGGTCTCAATGGACCAGAATATGACGACAAAGAACTGGGTAACTCTGACAAAGTGGCAGTGCAGTTCTGCTCAGTGTGAATGGGCCCTGGAGGAAGGTGGGATGGACGAGAGATATCCAAGTGAACAGTCCTATAGTTTCTAATATAATACCTGAATTTTATTTTTCATATTCAAAGTCCTCCATGATTTCCACTGTAAGTCAGTTTACTCTCTGTTTCCAAGGTCTTTATCCTGTAAGTATTTAAGGTGAATAGTAAGTGCAGGGGAGAGAATGTAAGACAAAAGTCCTACTGTCCAGAAACTCCTTCCCTAAGGAAAAAGACCTCACAGTCTGTATCATGATGGGCAGATGTGCTTGTGGAGGTAGATGGGCAAGCACGGGAACCAGCTGGTGCGGCAGCCACAGCAAGGCCTTCAAGGCAGAGAGCTGGAGTGCAGGTGAGCAAGTGCCTCAAATGGCTGGAATGTGCCTAGGGAAAGAGCAAAGGCTTTGCAGGTAGGGAGGGAATGTTTGGGAGGATGGTGTTTATCTTGCAGATGAGGGTAAGAGAGGGGCATGAGTGATGTGCTGAGCCCCATATCTGGGGAAGGCCGCTCTTCAGGAGATTAGGATAACAGTTACTAAGCCTCGTTGGCGGGGACTGGGAAAGGGGAGGACAAAGAACAAAGAACAAACACGCAAAACGGTGGGCATGTTCCAGGATTCCGTGTAGGGTAAATCATGGAATGATGACCGAGAGAGATAACACAGAACCAGGTGCCAGTTTGCAGCAGGCAAATGAGTTTGATTTTTAATTTGACTCTGTGATGGGAGACCTGGGAGAAGTTTCCAGAAAGATGACCACAGCTGACATTTGCTAAGTGCTTAACACGCACAAAGCACAGTGCTGGGTCCCAACAATCCTAAAAGATGAATACCATTATTATTCTCACTTTAGGTTTGAGAAAACTGAGACTCAGAAGGACAGGAATACCCCAAGTCTCCCAGCTGACAGATGATAAAGTCAGGAACCCACATCCACCTCCCACAGCTCCTGGCTCTAGGTGTCTATACACCCAGGAGGACACCCCATGAGGGCAATGCAGTCAGAGATCCTGGAATGGATCCTATACTAGAAGGGGGGAAAAAAAACAAAAACCACAAAACTGGAATATGGTAGTTTAAAGGATAACTGTTAATTTCCTAATTTCCTAAACTCAATATCCCTACTGCGCTCACACAACAGAGTACCTACGCTTTTAAGTAACAGTTAAGTTTTAAGAAATAAGAAAGCATGAAACACACAACCTACTCTCAAACACCTCCAGAAAAAAAGAGCATGCGCCCATGCACAGAAAATGAGACCAAACAGAAAGTGTCAAAGAGTAAAGTGAAGACCCTGCATAAAAAGTGAAATTTCTTAGCTGTGGCTGGTGTGGCTCAGTGGACTGAGCACCAGCCTATACAAACCAAAAGGTCACAGGTTCAATTCCCAGTTGGGGCACATGCCAGGGTTGTGGGCCAGGTCCCCAGCTGGGGGCATGGGAGAGGCAACCAATTGATGCAACCAATTGATTTTTCTCTTGCACACTGATGTTTCTTTCTCCCTCCCCTTCTCATCTGAATGTTAGAAAAGGTCAGAAAGTGGGAAAGTGGGAGAGGAATGTGGGGTAAGTGGGAGACTGTGGGGTGTAGGCAAGAGCAGCACAGGAAGCCTGGGCTACAACGGAGCTTCTCCCGGGAAGGTATATTTACCACATACCACAGGCACACCATGGGGAGAAAAGCCTGAGAAACGGCTAAGGATGTGGGGAAGTCCCCAGCGGCCTCCCTCCAGCAGGCAGTTTCTGGAGCCTGGAGGTAGCCAGAATGCAGGATAGGAGAGGCAGGTGAAGGTGCTGAGGCAGCCAATGTGCAGGCCTAAGCAGAGAGTCAAAGAGGTCATGAGGGAGAAGGTATTAGGGACAGGGGTAGGTGTCCAGGGAGGCTGGCACAGGGACACCTGAATTTGAGAAAGACCACGGGACAGGACCCCAGGACCAGGTAGAGGGAGGCCAGCAGGTTAAGGTCAAATCCAAGTGCCAGGAGGCATTTGTGGGGAGAGGAGAAGAGATATTTAAGTGAAGGACTTAGCTACTTCTCAGGCCCCCTTTGCCTGAAGTCGGGAGCCTGGCCTTACCTTGTGATAAACCTCAGGTGGCGAGGTGACTAAGGTGGGACAGAAGGAGGTGACTCCATGCGATAGGATCCTCTGGGCCACCAGAGCCACTCCCGAACTCACGTCCTCTGTGGCCTGAGAAAAGTCAACGCCAAATCCACCTGTGGCCACAGAAAAGAGGAGGTAGCACAGTGCTCCGAGCTCCTCCCCTGGGTCTCCACCACCGGCCCCAGACCCCACCATTGATCTGCACATCAATGAAGCCAGGCGCCAGGATGCAGCCTCCGCAGTCCCGCTGCTGGTCGGCCACGAGCCGCTCCTCAAAGAACAGCTTCTCTGGGTCCACAATGTGGCCCTCCCGCACCCACAGATCCTCCCTGTGAAGAGAGGGGCCAGACTCGGATCGGCGGCCCAGCACCCCACCCCCAACTGAACATTGCTGGGCCCTGAGCCCGCCAGCCCCACCCCAATAGTGCCGTAGTGCCAGGCCCCGCACCCACCGGCGCCGCACACCACCTGAGCAGCCTCCGACCCCGCAGGATACGGCAGTTGGTGAACTGGAGTACCGGTGCCCGCACAGTGCCCTTCCCGTTGCGCATCTTGAACCGCGGAGCGGACCTAAGTGGCCCAGAAAGCCTGCAGCTTCGCTCACATGACTTCTCAGCTGACTAAGGCGCTGCTCCACGTGACTGACATGCCCACGTGATCATGCACCCGGCGGCCCACCCCCTCCTGCCGGCCCACACAAGCGCTGCACACAGCCGTCCAGTCACATCCAAGAATTTTATTGGACAAGGCTCCAGGCCTGGCAGGCCCAGTACACTGCCCCGCAGCCAGGGCTGGAGGGCAGTGATTCCATCCAAAGTCTCAGGGCACACGGTAACCCCACAAAGCAACACTCTAAAGATTACTATATAGTTGGGAGACGGGAGGGTTGCTCCACAAACGTGCGAACAGGTCAAATCTTTATAAATAAACATCCAGTGAAAATGACAACTCGAATTCATCCTTATACAGAGCACTCTAGGGCAGGTAGAGGTGAAGGTGGCCAGAAACCAGCATCCTCACTGGTTAGGGGACCTGGATGGGTGATGAGTGGGCCCAGATGTCCACAGCACGGGGCAGTGGGGGCAACAGACGATGGGCACTAGGACACTGCGCATTTACAAGACCAACTACTGGGGGTGAGGGGCAGCTTCCCCGTGCCTGTGTGTCAGGCTGTTCATTCTGGAATGAGGAGAGGGTGGTCTTTACATCATACTCTGTGGCTGGTGGACTTGGAGAGGGGCTACTTTGTGGAGAGGATAAGGGCGACGATGAGACCATAGAGGCCCAGCACCTCTGCGAAGATGAGGATCAGGATCATGCCCACAAATAGTCGGGGCTGCTGGGCAGTGCCCCGCACGCCGGCGTCCCCCACAATGCCAATGGCAAAGCCAGCTGCCAGCCCACTCAGGCCCACACTCAGGCCAGCGCCCAGTTGGAGGAAACTCCTAGGGGAGAAAAGACACAGGATAGACATTAGCTGCCTGCCAGGGAAGACAGTGGGAATGGGCCACTAGCCAGATGCCCGTTCCCTAGTTGCCCCCCATACTGTGCAGTGGCCTGACTTCAGGCAAGGAGTGGGTGTGGTGAGAGGAACCCCCCAACACTCACCTGTAGAGAGTGATGTCTTCATTCAAGGAATTGGCAATAAGGACTGCCACCACTAGGCCGTAGATGGCAATGATGCCAGCCATAACCACTGGGATAATGGACTTCATGATCAGCTCTGGCCGCATGACAGACATGGCTGCGATGCCGGTGCCACTCTTGGCTGTACCATAGGCAGCACCCAGAGCTGTTGGGGGTGAGGGGAGGCAAGGTGAGTCCAGAGCATCTGAGGCCAGGACCCTGGGGGTAGCTCTGACACAGTTGAGGGCCACCTCAAGTTATCACGGGCAATGGGGAGACGAAGGTGGCACCCAGTCAGGGCCAGGAAGTGATCCTCAGGGGAAATGGTCACAGCTGAGCACTCAAGGAATCCAGGTAACTGTTCCTTTCTTCTACCAGAGATCCTTGTGGCTGATGGCTGTGTAGCCTATGTGAGCTCCTGCTCTGCTAGGAAACCCCCACCTGAGCTCACCAGAACTTCCCAAGCCTGGTATACTGACCCCATATTCCCAAGCAGCTTTAGCTCAGCTGCTTACAACCTAAAAGGTGGAATTCTTTAACAGCCCAGCAGTCCCACAGGGAAACAGGCTGCTGGGCCCCTGATAGATGATTCTGGACATGTTTTATCACACCTAGATTCTCAGGCACTCAGGTCAGAAAAGGCTTGGAAAAGCATGAAATGATTGTGTCAGCAGCCCAGATGTTAGGCCAGGGTCAGCCCCCACTGGCCCTAGGGCTGTGCCCGGGGAAAACATGCTGGAAGAGCCCTGCTGCACACAGGGCCTGACCACTGGTCAGGGAAAGCAGCCTGTCAAGTCCAGTCCTGTCCTCCCAGGCTAGTTTCCCAACTCCCCAACACTCCCAGCCCTAGGACACACTGCTGGAAGGGCTGCCATCTGTGTGGATGGGATGAACCTACCCTCAGCCACACAGCAGGCCTAGCTCCTTGAGTTTGGAGAGAATCCTCTCTAAATAACCAGAGAGAAAAGGTGAGCCTAGGCGAAGACAGGCCACAGGAAGACAATGGGTATGTGGGGCCATCACCCAGCCCAATTGTGAAGCCTTGGCAGATCTCCCAGAAGTCTAGCTTCTGCCCAAGGCCTCCAGTAATGGAGGTAGGAGGCTCTTGGGCAACCTGTCTCCTCCTCTTACACTGCCCTCCTGAAAGTTCCCCTTTCCTGGCTTCTGTCTTCAAAGTCTAGACTAACTTTTGCACAGAAGAGAGCCACAGAAGGCCAAGGCAGCTCTTAGGACTCCTGTCACCTGTTCCCCAGGGTCCCACCATGCTTCTTGGACAGAGGACAACAGGGGTAGAAGATGGAAAGAACCAAGACAATACTGGCCATTCATCTATTTGAGCCACAAGGTGCCTACTCTGTTCATCACTAAGCAGAGTAAGTTCAGAGGGATGCTGTCTTCTCAGGCCTCTAAAAGTCTGGTGAGAAGACAGATATGGCACCTCCAAGCAGTGACATGTTCCCGGAAAGTGGGGAAGGTGATGATGGAGTCTGGGGAAATGCTTCATAGAGATGACATCTGAGTAGAGGGGTGACAGTGAGCAGGAAGATTCCAAACAGAATGAATGGAGAGCAACTGGAGGGAGAAGGCAAGGGTGGGGGCAGGGGAATCAGCACTGTCTGCCTCCTCCCCGTAGACCTGAAGGCACCTCAACACTGCCTTGCCTAGACACTGAGTGACTTCAGCCTGCTCAGGCCTGTCTTCATGAACCTTTCCTGGAACTCTCTGGGTTACAGTGCCTTCTTTGGGCTTTTACCGCAGGACCTGCACACAGGCTATGTCACATATATGCAAGGGGCCAGTGCCATGACTCGTTACTCAAGGGGGAGGGCACAGGCTGCCACATGGCAGAGTTTCCATGGAGACTGCTTATAGGGAACTCAGTATCTTAGCCAGTTGCAAGAGACAGGGAGTCGCCTGCTCCAAAGGCCAAGCCCAGCAGGGCTCCAGATCCAGTGGGAGACGCCGGGAAGATTGTGATCAGACGGCAGTTCCGGGAATGCAGGACCAAACAGAAGGTGCCCACCAGCAAGGAGGAAGTCATAGAAAATATGGAAAAGGAACAACTGAAAGCTTTGTGGAAGGTATGATGAAGAAAGAACTGACAGGACTTTTCTTTTTTTGTCACAAGTTAAGAAAAAAGGGGAAGCTGAAATGGGAGATGGGGACTGGGAAGGCCGGCGAGTTGAGTGGGCCTCATTTGGTTGTAAGAAGACCAATCAACAAAGCACTAGGCAGCCCAAGGGCAATCTAGGCCAGGAGCTGGGGACAGCTTGGAATCAGTCAGGCAGCGACACCTGATGCCTGAGAAACGAGGGGCTTGTTCACATAGGTACAAGGAGGCGGATGAAGATAAGCCTTGGAGAAAGACACGTTTAAACAGAGAAATGAAGTAAAGTCAACCTGCTAAGCCCAATGTAGGGAAGGGAACAGGAGTGAAACTGCATTCAAGACCAACAGGAATGAGTTGCCTCAATCACCAGGAGCCTAGGGCAAGCAAAAAACCCTGGGCCAGTGCTATCCTAGTCTCAGTAACTTTCAGAGACCTGCTGGTCAGGGTCAATCTGAAAGTACCAAGTAAGTTCTAGGAGAAGAACAGAAGCACCTGGTAAACAGAGGGAGGCCAGGAGCTAGGCACAGACAAGGGCTCAGGAGGCAAACTCAGGAACAAGCAGTGACAGCCAGAATCCCATGTGGGCAGGCATCTGTTTTGTTCATTGATGTCTCCATGTGCTTGGCACATAGTAGGAGCTCAATCAAGACTCGTTGAACGAATGAATGAAGGCACAAGCAGCACCCCACAGGTGGCCAGGCAAAGCAGAATCCTGGAGGCAGAACACAGAATACACTGGGGTAATGGGGCACAGCAACCTGCTAGGAGGCCCTGGAAAACAGCCCCTGAAGATGTGGAAAGAGCAGCGCTGGCTAGGAGAGAAGGGGAAGTCCAGACCACTTCTCCCACCACAAATGACCTCTTACTCGCACATGATGGGAAGGGCAGGGCTCACTCAGTAGCTCGTGACTGACTGACAGGCTCAGGCAGAGGGAGGCCCCCAAGAGAGCAGAGCCCCCAAGTCCCCACCTCACAAATGTTTACAGTCAGCAGAGACTGTTTGGTGTTCAAACCCTCAACATACCAGCATAGGGAGCCTCCCAATTCACCAAGTAGGGTGGGGCAGGGCGCGGTCATCAGAACTGAAAACCAGATCCAGACCGGGCCAGACCAGTCCATGGGGAGTGCATCCAGACTACAACTCACTTCCCTGAGTTGCACATTTATGAGCCTACCCCAAAGGTCCTTCTCCCGGGAAGACCAATTTTCACTTAATTCAGCACAGTAGGACTGCCAAGATTCAACTTTAAAAGCAGGGTGCCATAAAAAAAAAAAACCCTAGAAGACCCCTTTCTCCATACCTAGGGCCACCCCTCCCAATACCAGGCCTCAGGGAAGGAAAGGAAGGTTATTCCTTCTTTCATTTATTGGGGTCAGAACTAGCAAACTCTTAAGACAAAGACCCAACCCTCTCAACACTAAGGCGCTATGCAACCTTCTCACTCATCCCAAAGCAGCTTCTCAGCGAGTGACAACACAACACTGATGCTGGCCAGACTCCCTTCCTCCTCGACCTGTTTGATTCCCTGCCCCCCCTCAATTCCAAACACTCCCACCTTTAGGTCCCTGCGGGCTCTCAGCACCAACTCCTCAGCCCAGCTCTCCCAACCCACCCACAAATGGCTATTGGGAAACAGTGACAAGTCCTAACCGGAAGCACCTACTCTGGATACAGACCCACCTAATCCACACCAGGGTGGGGGGAGGGTGAGAACTGTGGACCTCAGCTAAGAGCGCCTGGGCCCGATTCCCCCGCCCCGCTGTCCACAGACAGGGCCGGCCCCGCATCGAGGGAGCTTTCTGAGTTGTGATGTCACACCTGCCCGCAAGACTGGGAGGAGACGCACGCAAAGCAAGCGCAGGACCGCGTGCATCCACCCCAGCCTCCCTCCCTCTCCTCCCGGGGCTAAGATGGCAGCGGCACTACCGCCCCACCCCCGCACCGTCACAGACTTGGGGCAGAGAGGCCGAACTGTGTACCCCCGGGATACCCTTGGGACCCGCACTCCAGCTTAGCCCGTATGCCCTGCACAGAATGCCCGATGGCCCAGGCAGCCTTCTGGGACCCGAACCCCGCCCGCGGTCACGTGAGGCTTGGGACCCCCAAAAGCTCGAAATCACGTCAGAGTGACGTCACACACCGAACCCCAGCGAGCTGTGGGCATGAGTACCACGCGCCCTGGCGCCCCCCGCCTCCCTCCTGTCGCGGCGCTCACCGCTGAAGACCATGGCGGCCGAGGCGCCCATGACCGCGAAAAAGGAGGAGTACTCGGGGCCGCTCTTGGCCTCGGACATGTCTGCGGGTGGGGAAGGGGCGAGGTCAGCGGGCCGAGGTGGGGCCGAGGACCGGCTAGGCGAGGCGGGAAGACGGCGAGTGGCGAGCGGGAAGCGAGCTGGAAACAAACGATCTGACGGCTGTGAAGGCGATCGGCCCGTCAGCCGCTGCGCTCTAAATATCAGCACCGCAGAACAAAATGGCCGCAGCGGCCGTATCACATGACTCTATCCCCGCCCCCTCGGTTGGTACCACTTCGTGCCGGTGGGGGAGCCACGGCCCCCGCACGCTTTACCAGCTCTCTGGCCGCCCCTACACCGTGCCGCCACCCCGCCAGCCCTGACTCTGGCGTTCCGTTCCATCTAGGCCTCCGCGGATGCGCTGCGGCACCTCTCGGCCTCTCGGACCCCATGGCGCTGCGCCTGTCAGATCCCCCTGCCGGGGTGGGGCGGTGGCGTGCCACATTATCATACGGGGTTGGACGTGGAGGTGCTCCGCCTTCTCTGCGGCTGCGTGGTGCCAGCCGGTACTCGATTCTGTGGGTTCTTTTTCTTTGCATTTTGTGGCGCGGATCATGGCAATTGTGTTCTCACGGCCTTGACCCCAGATAGCCAGGACTACTCTCTCCTCCTCCTGGAGCGATCTGAGTTCCTAGCACACCAAGCCGAATCTCGAGCCCCGGGCGCCTGCCTCTTCTGCTCCAACCACGGGGAAGCCCCCAGCCCACCTGTGAAGTCCTGGCCTCTGCTTGTGTCCCTCGGTCGCTCTACCCCGACCCGGACCCCAGTCCTCTCCACACCCAGACCCACCAGCCCCCGACCTAGAAATTGGCGACTTATCTCCTGGCTTCCTAGGAAAAGGAACTCCCGCCCCGGCATCTGTCTCCTGTCTTGCATCAGGGGCCCAGACTTCAGTTGGGGGGAGGGACGTCATTGCTTCTTAAGGTGACGGCGTGACTGGTTTGAATTTCGTCAGTGTTGCGACCTGTGGAGGCTTCCCCGGATTTCTGGGGTCCCTGTCCTTCCTGTCCCCACGCAAAGCTTGCACCTGCAGGACTGCACTTATTTCTGGAGCAGCAGCTAATGGTTTCAGCTCAGCACGCAGCCTGGCCTGGAACTGACTGCCCTGCTTATAACAAGTGGTGGTGTGGCACCCCAAATGTCTGCCTCATCTACCCGCCAGCTCTGGTACCCTATGGTCTTTTGTCCCTTCCCTCTTAGGAGCCCTGGGTGACTACCTCCTGGGTGGGTCTTTCTTGAGCTCCAAGCCCTGGTTCTGACATTAAAGAGTTTCCCTGAACATACTGAATGCAGCTGGTCTCAGTCTTCTCCCTGTGGGCTGTGGGGTTCCTGTGCCTGACCCTCCTACTGGACTCTCAGTCCCATCTTCTAGAACAGGAACGTCTGTCCTGCTCTCTTCCCCTTGGTGAGGCTGGGTCTGACACCCTAAACTTGGAGTCCACAGAAATGCCAGTTTTGTCCTGTTTGAAAAGAGAGGAGGCCACCGCTACATGGCTATAGCTCTCCGCATCTCTCTCTGCCCTAGACTCTAACTTCTTGACAGAGGAATCTTTACTCCATGTGTCCACCTCACCTGCCCTCTATCTGTTATCCCTCCCCAGCTCCTTGCCTTTGCCAAGGTTGCCAGTGACTGCCATTTCTCTAAGCTGAGGAACAATTGTCAGACTTTCCGAGTGGGTTTCTGTTGCTGCAGCCCGCTGCCCACTCCTTTACAGCTTCCTTCCTTCCTGCTCATTTTCTCCAGCCCAGACACCTTTATTCCTTCCTGGAGTCACAAGGAGAAATAAGGATAGGCCTAGGTCCTATGATGGATCCTCCCCTCACTGGGTGATCATGTCTTCAATCTGCATGTTTCTAGATCTTCCCTAAGGTCAGCCCTCATAACTTCAGATAAACTTAGGTTCTAGGGCTAGGGAAGACCAGGCCAGGGAGCTGGCTCTGGCTGGGGTTCCAGGCAGGCTGCGTACAGGGGGAGAATTTGGATAAAGGAAAGGAGGAACAGAATAGTCCACAGGAAGTAAAGTGCACAGAACCCCAATATGGCTGAAATCCCAAGGCTGGGAAGTCAGGATCGTTCCCTCTTGGAGCTCAGGTAGCCATTCAGCTTTGATCCCGGTCCTCTCATCCGCCCAAGTTCTGGTATGAGACATCACGCGGGGTCTCCAGTGGGGCTGCTGACACCTCAAACAAGCATGTCTCACACTGAACTTACCCTCCACCCTCATCACCACTAACCGGCTTCCACTTGGTTATTTCCATTTTGGGCAAGACACACCCCCATCCACCCTCCTGCTCACACCAGCAGCCTCCATGTCATGCTCTGCTCATCCTTATTACTCACCAAACCCTGAGGTTCCTCAGCTTCCCAGCACTCAGCTCAGACCCCACCAGCAGCCTGATGCCCCTTGGGTAGGCCTTCATTTCTGCCCTGGGTCTTTTCACAGCTTCTGCATGACCAGCCTATTCAGTCTTACTGCCCTGCCCCAAACCCGTCTCTACCTTAAAGCTACAGAATCTTCCCAACTGGCACATCTGACCAGTCTCTCCCCTGGAATCCTTCAGTGTCCTTTTAATATAGACTGGACCGTTGGTAGTCTCTTCCCAGGCCTTCCTCCTTTCTTTTTTTTTTTTTCTTTTTGGAATTTTATTATTATTTTTTAATTTTTCCATTTTTAAAATTTTTATTGTTGTTCAAGTACAGTTTTCTGCCTACCCCCTGCCACTCCCCCCCACCCCAGCCATCCCCACTTCCCTCCCCTGATTCCGCCTCCCCTTGGTTTTGTCCATGTGTCCTTTATGGTTGTTCCTGAAAACACTTCACCCTTTTCCCCCCATTACCTCTCCCACCTCCCCTCTGGTTACTGTCCATTTGTTCTTAATTTCAATGTTTCTGGTTATATTTTGCTTGCTTGTTTGTTTTGTTGATTAGGTTCCACTTACAGGTGAGACCATATGGTATTTGTCTTTCACCACTCAGCTTATTTCACCCATTTCTTCCCCTTGTGTTACCCCTTCCTCACCTGTGTCCTTGAGCCTGAAGTTCTCTCTCTACTAACTTCTCCTTATTTTTTAAATTTTTATTTAGAGAGAGAAAAACATCAATATGTTGTTCCATTTTATTTATGCATGCATTGGCTATTTCTCGGATGTGCCCTGCCCAGGAATCAAACCCACGATCTTGCTGTATCAGAATGGCTCTGTAAACAACTGACCTACCCAGCCAGGGCTCTTCCTTTCTTCTTACTTAGGGAATGCTACTCAGTCTTTAGAATGTAGAATTCCACTTCCTCCAGGAAGCTCTCCTGATCTCTTTCTCCTCCTCAGCCCCTTTTTCATTTCTTGAACTCCACTACTACTTTTTTTTTCACTCACTACCTTCCGCACTGAGAGTTGCTGTGCCTCTTTTTCTGTATCTGCAACTGCTGGTAGGGTGCCTGGAGCACACAGCTAACATTTACTGATCACTAACTGTGTCCAAGGCCCGTTGCAAGCATTTACTGGGGTAGTAGGTAATCCTCACAATGACCTCTGAGGGAGCTCTCACTATTATTTTCATTTTGTGAAAAGGAAGTAGGCCTAGGAAGGATCATCATCTTGCCCGGGGTCTGGCGGCTAGAGAGCAGTGGCACTGAAACTCTGGTTACACAAGTTGGGCCTGGTGCGTGTAGCTCAAGCACCACCGGCCTCCTGCACCAGGGTTCAGGGAGCGTCCGGCGACCAGTGATGGGGCTAGAATGGACCAGGTCACCTTGCTCTAGACCTCCCAGCCCTGGGCAGGCTCTGAGGTGGGATGGGCTGGGGCTATGGAAGGAAGTGGCCAAGGACACACACCTCTGCCTTCTTCCTCACAGCTAACTCCTTGGCTTGAAACCACAATGTCATGAGCTCCTGGCCTGTCACTGTGAAGCTTTATTCTTGGGATTTCCAAGAATAAAGAAGGAGGGGCTTCGAGAAACACATCAGAGACCCGGGTAGGGAGGTATAGAGATATGAGGTGAGGTCTTGACTCCTCCAAAGGTTTTGAGGGGGACAAAAGGGCCCACTGTCCACACTGAAAGACGGTGGCAGAGAGAAGGCCAATGGCACTTTGCAAGACCTAAGGGAAGAGAGGGGGATGGCTAGGGAGAAAAAGACATTAAGATTCCAAATGGCCTCAAATGATTGGGAAAATGAACTTACCTGAATAAGCCAATTCAAGAGAAGAGAGAAGAGTCAAGCAGCCTGAGCAGGGCCTCAGGGAGAACACTGGGAAACTGGAGACAAGCAAGAGTCCCGGGGCAGGGCGGCCTCTCCCTGTGAGCAATCTCAGGCTCCCTGTGGGTTGCACGAAGATACACCAGAGAGGGCATAACGCTGAGAGATGACTCTTGCTTTCTTGACCTGGCTAGATAAGTATTACGTGTGACCCAGGCAAGGCTGGGAGGAGATGGAACAAAAACACAGTTGTGTTAAGTTGGGGATATGAGTAAAGGCGATTTTTTTGTATAATTTTTAAAATAGGGTTTATAAAATGATTTTTTTTAAATTTTATTTATTTATTTATTTTTAGACAGAGGGGAAGGGAGGGAGAAAGAGAGGGAGAGAAGCATCAGTGTGTGGTTGTCTCTCCCACGCCCACCACAGGGGACCTGGCCCATAACCCAGGCATGTGCTCCTACTGGGAATCGAACAGGTGACCCTTTAGTTCACAAGCCGATGCTCAATCCACTGAACCACACCACCCAGGGCTATTTTTAAAATTTTTTATTTAGCCCTGGCTGGTGTAGCTCAGTGGGTTGACCATGGGCCTGCGAACCAAAGGATCATGGTTTGATTCCCAGTCAGGGCACATGCCTGGGTTGCAGGCCAGTTCCCAGCAGGGGATGCAGGAGAGGCAACCATACATTGATATTTCTCTCCCTCTCTCCTTTCCTTCCCCTCTAAAGATAAATAAAAATCTTAAAAAATAATTTTTTTATTTGATTTTAGGGAGGGAAGGAGGGAGAGAGAGGTAGAGAGAGAAACATCAATTTGTTGTTCTACTTATGTATGCATTCATTGGTTGCTTCTCATATGTGTTTGAATGTGCAGGGATTGAACTTGCAACCTTGGTGATCAGGACAGTACTCTAACCAATGAAGCTGTCTGGCCAGGGCCACAAGTTACTTTTTTTTTTTTTTAATGAAATATGTCTGGTAGGTAAACACAGCA